TGCCAAGTATATTGAAAACAGACCAAAAGTAAAAGAGTAGTAGCATTTTGAAAGAATTTTACAGAAATTTCTATTTTTAGTAACCACGGCAATACGGTTCATCGAAATCAAAAAACGATATACAGAATTATGTACCTTAGTGTAGTCTACTTGTGTGCCAAGTTATATTGAAATCAGACCAAAACTATAAGAGAAGTAGCATTTTGAAAGAATTTTACAGAAATTTCTATTTTTAGTAACCACGGCAACACCGTTCATCGAAATCAAAAACCGTTAAACAGAATTATGTACTTTAGAGTAATCTATGTGCCAAGTAATATTGAATTCAGACCAAAACTGTAGGAGGAGTAGCATTTTGAAGGAATTTAAAAGAAATTTCTATTTTTAGTAACCATGGCAACACCGTTCATCAAAATCAAAAACCGATATACAGAATGATGTACCTTAGTGTAGTCTACTTGTGTGCCAAGTTATATTGAAAACAGATCTAAACTTTAGGAGGAGTAGCATTTTGAAAGAATTTTACAGAAATTTCTATTTTTAGTAACCACGGCAACACCGTTCATCGAAATCAAAAACCGATAAAGAGAATTATGTATTTTAGTGTAGGCTACTTGTGTGCTAAGTTATAATAAAATCAGACCAAAACTGTAGGAAGAGTAGCATTTTGAAATATTGTTTACAGACAGACGGACAGACGGACGGACGCCGGACGCATTACTATCGCATAAGCTCTTCTGGTCTCTGACCAGTAGAGCTAAAAAGGAATGAATTCAATCTTTCTATCATAACTTCCCTTTTTTGTGTAGAATATACATATATCACCTGCATATGGGGTTTATGTATCACAGTTGATTCGATACTCAAGAGCATGTTTTTGTACTAGCATTTTTAAAAAAAAGGCAGCTTACACTCAAACAAGTTGATGATATATAAGAGTAACTACACTTTTGTTTAAAGTCAACATTTTGAAAATATAAATGGTCAATAACATTGTTTACAAATACAAGGTCGAATGTTAACTTAGGTCTTTCATACAAATCGTTAGGCCAATTTTCATACTAAATTAACAGCGGATATTTCTGTTTACTATATCATGACAAAGAGCACACTGCTGGTATGAAAACGATACGTACCCCTCTGTGTTACCTGATCTCACCAATAAAGTTTTAGAGGCACATCTCATTTGTAATTTTAATGGACTTTTGAGCTGATTACATTATTTTTATATTTCATATTTTAAAATAATTCATAATATACACTAAACAGAGTATTTAAACATACTTCCTATGAACCCTAATTTCAGTAAGATAAGGTATATATATGTATATTTATTTCAGACGGTGAATTTCACGCGACTGTGTGTTCCATTTTCCAATGCCTCAGCAAACTCCACGCCAGTGCCCCCACTGTCCATATGTAATGTGAATGCATCCGTCATTCTGAACAACAGGAAACTGATTCTCTTCTCAGGTAACAAGGTGTTAGTGTATGACGACTATGAAAGACTGGATTCTGGACCAACAAAAACATTTAAATTTAGCGACATATTTACTGGAATATCAGGAACACTGGATGCTGCATATGATGATAATGACACCATATCACTGATTCAAGGTAAATCCTAATTAATATTCCAAAAGATGTTTTAAGCGTGCATTTCATATTTATATGTGATACTACAGATCAAAATTCCTCTCTGAATAGTTAAGTTTTATAATACTTTTAAACAATCATTATTTTATTGTTTGTTTCTATTATTATTGAATCTACAATTAGACGACATGTATTCGAAAATTTAATCTTTATTTAAATGAATTTATCAATCACACAGCAGATTATGTCTATGAACATTGCATTAAATTAAGCACTTGAAGAACATTTTTTAAAATAAAATTACAAGCAAAACATGAATTCTTGATTTTAAAAATGTAAAATCCTACAAGGAGCTTACGAACAACAATTAAATAATCTGAAGTATAATGTTATTTATATACTCGTGCTACTCCTTATTTATTTTTCACCTGCTTCAATATCCTTATCTTTTCCTCAGGCTCCGAAATATACACATATACGGTCTCAACAGTACTAGAAGGAAAACGAGCATCATTTCAGAAGAAAGGGAGAACAAATGTTACATTTAATCTTGATCTCGCTAACCATTCATCAACTACCATTGATTGTATCATAAAGGATACCAATATGTTTTATGTATTCGCTGGGGATAACATGTATGATGTGAGCAAAAATCCACCGACGGTCATAAACTGGAAATCAAATAGCGCCAAAAATCCATTTAAATCCACCGATCACACCAACCGCCCTCATATTGTGGACGCATGTGCGAACACTGACTCGCAACGAATTCTCTTCTTTTCAGGAGCGGAGTACTTCTACTATGATTTCTCTACAAAGCATGGTTTTTGGACAGAACGAAATCAGACTGAGTGCTAATTTGAATTGAAACATTTTTGTTATGTAATCTTTTGTGTTTTAGTACATAAAATGCTTCTCAAGAATTAATATATATACATTGTATACATTGTACGCATATAACTTGTCTAAAGAAGCAAATAAAATTCATTTTGTATATTCTAATAAAGGTTTTCAACGTCTGACAAAATACTTTTACTACAATTGCAATTTGTATTCAATACAAAGTTGTAGCAAACATAGGCTTGTCTTTATATGATAATGTAATTTTTTTTTTTGAATTGATACAAAATGATGATAATAAATCAACACTTAAAGGAAATCTAATTAGTAATATGGCACGTTTCTTGTTGATAATAAGATATATGACACAAACTTATATTTTAAACCAATAAGAGACCTTTTTCTTAATATTTTGCATATTTAAAGATAGTTCAAATTAACATATCATTTGAACCAATTTATCATTTAGTAAGAAATTATAATTGTAGCAGATGCATGATTATTAATTTACGTTCTATTTAATTAAAAATGGCTTTTTATTCTCATCAAAAGTACTGCCCATGCAGTTTTATTTCAGATTGATCTACTACGAGTGAGTGTCCTTTATAAAATGATGAATATGATAGTAACATTAATGAAGAGAACTCAAATTCGGATGCTTGAAATATGATAATGTTTTTTTTTCAAAAAGCTCAAAATATTCTTTACGATGTGTATTTTACGCAAACAAAAAATGGCGATGCGAGTAAACATGGGCCAGTTTTATAAAATACAGAAAAAATGGCATTGCTTCAATGATTCGGATCTGAATTTACATATAAGAATATCTTTATAAAAAATAAGAAACAACTGAACCTAGAAGAAAGGTACATGTATGTGTTACAATCAATGTAATTTGATCATTGTTAATCCTCCCACGCCTTTCAGCTTATCGTATTAATTTTCTTATTCATAAATACACGTTGAAGTGGAGTGATGGCTGCAGGGAATACATATCTTTACAAAGAGGGGGTAATGACGTATATACCTAAGATGTACGACTCAATGTGCACATAGGCCAACTAAAGGTAATAGTTTGTTTATACTATCAACAAAAGATAAAGAATCATTTCAATGTTATGATCAAAGTACACGTTAAACAACAAAAATATAAACATGATATTTTGTCTTTACAATTGGTTATAAATAAAACTGGCTAAAGGGAAACATTTTTGTCTGTAATTTGTATCAAAAACTTAAGTAATTGGGAACAACCTTTGATAATTAATCATCACAATGTAGACTACCCCCAGAAGCACATTTATAATGAACACTTCAATCCGCCGTTTTCTATATCAAGCGGTCACAAAACTGCAACAGTTTGATTAACAAGAGTGGATTTAAAAAGTAATTTAAAACACAACCTACCAATGTGTTTAAGTTCTCAAATTAATGAAGAAGAATAATTACAATGGCTGGAGATGCTATTCCTATTAAGCGAAAACTCGGATACAGTGTTGGACATGCGTTTAATGACCTCACGGCGTCAATGTGGTATACCTACCTTATAGCCTACTTTCATGAGGTCAAACATTTTGATGACACATTGGCCGGAGCGCTGATGATGATCGGACAGTCAGTGGACGCAGTGTTAACTCCACTGGTTGGATTAGCCTCGGACAACAGCAAATCAGGTTGCTGCAAAATCGGTAGAAGAAAATCCTGGCATTTAATAGGTAAGCACAAATTTTATAGTTTCATTACCTATATACTGTGGTGATTTTATTATAATCATTTATAAGGAATATTGATAAGCTTTACATTATCTCAAATCTCTTACTTAATTGTAGTTGATTTTTCTTTCAGGGACTATATGTAGTTGTCTAGGGTTTCCATTCATTTTCATACCTTGTTGGTTCTGTGGCGGAGTTCCAGATTGGGCACAATTTATTTACTATGTTCCACTTGTTGTTATATTTTCATTTGGATGGGCCTGTGCTCAAATTGGACATTTAGCTCTTATCCCAGAAATGACGCTTTCTACGATAGAAAAAGTGCAGCTTAATGGATGGAGGTTAAAATATTATTTACACTTAATTTTCAAGCATTTTAAAATTTTAATCATAACCCAAATAAATATATTGATTTAGCAAAAACTGAAAGTATTGCATTTGTAAAATATGGGTTTGTTTTAGGTATGCTATAACCGTCCTTTCACATATGTTTGTTTACCTGCTGGCCTGGTTGTTTTTTGATGCACACAGATCAGAAGAAGCAAGCACTTATCTTAACGAAGAGGATGGATACATATTCAGGGTAAGACATTTTCGCCAGCCAAGGGTTTCTGATCCCCTTCTGTCCTTTATGGAGAGAGTAGCGGAACTGAACTCTTGTCTAGCAAAGATGAGGGTAACATGGACCAACTGCCATACATTCTGTAGTTTACATTTCCAGGTTTTTGTCATAATAAGTCAGGCATGTGTATTTAAATATTTTTATAGATTAATAGTTAAGAGTAATGTAACCTCTAGAAAAAATTGGAGTAAAAAAAAGCTTCAAAAACGAATGTTAACATTTTCACATAAATCCCCATGTGAGTTAAAGAGGCTTATATTTACATTGCAGGATCTGGCAATATGCGTTGTTGTTGTAGGAGTGATATGCAGTTGTATATTCTACTGGCTTGTTCACGAAAAGGACAACCCATTACCTGGAACTGGCTATGAAAAGAAATTGCAGAGTGATAGAGAAGCAAAAAATGACAAAGGAAAGGATTTAAAGGAAACCACAGTAGAAAAAATAGATAAAAGTAAACCACTTGAGACTAATTCTACTGAAAATAAAAAACAAACCCCCTTATTAAAATTAAAGGGTATAGTTAAATCAAATTCTTCTCAGAGTATTTGCAGGACTCATGACAAGCTTGAAAGAAACTTATCTTCAATGTCTTGTCCCGAAAATGACGTTTTAGCAACAATCTCCTCAATATCAAGCCCCGAAAATGACATAGAAATGTCCCAACTCACGCACGGTCAAAATACTGCTATTCCTGGAATTCTAAAGGATAAATCAAAGACATGCAAACCAAACACTACAAAGAAAAGAATATCTTTTGTATCTGATCATAGCATCATAGAAGAAGGCAGAAATGAACAGAAGGCTGATATAGAAGAACAAAAAGTGATACTTCACAAACACTGGAAGGACTGGTTTAAAGAGCCCAGTTTTTATCAGGCAAGACTTCTTTTCCTTTTTATAGAAATATGAAAAATTTATAGAAATACTTTCAATTAAAGCATTTAAAGGCATATAATAAAAATCTTACATTTATTTAATTAATTTACATTAAATTTCATTTACCTTTCAGATGGCTTTGATATATATGTGTACTCGTTTAACCGTCAATATATCTCAGATATATATGCCCATGTACATAACAGAGACCTTGCATATGCACAAGGTAAGTAAAGGTGTTAATACATGGTTGATGAATATAATTGGGGGAGTCAGCAAGATTCCAGTTCCCTAAAACCAAGTCTATCTCCCAAGGTGCAGTTCTGTTTTATACACAGTGGGATTATTTATATAGATAACGATATAGATAATGATAGAACCCAACAATGTTAATATTAGCTAATAACTGATAATGTTTTTAAATTTCAGGATTCTGTAGCAATTGTTCCTCTGGTTGGATATATTGCTGGATTCTGTACATCGCTTTTTATGAACAATACAAATAAGTTACTAGGTCGTAAGGTTTGGTTCCCTTTTTTTACATTAATATTTTAATTCCTTGTTTACATTAAAGAAATCATACTCTCCGTAGTGTATCTTTTCAACAAATAAATTTATCTCTCCTTGCCCAAAGCTTTTTATACATTTTCAAACGATATAAATATATAAATATGTTTTTAATATTTGGCTCATGATTACAGAGAACTTACATAGTTGGTATATCTTGTACACTTGGGGCCTGCGTGTGGATCTTTTTCATTGATGAGGCGACATCTAGCCGTGTCTACGGAGTCGCTGCTCTGAGTGGTGTTGGTGGATCAACTGCTCTTGTGACGTCACTCGCAATGACCTCTGATCTCATCGACAGATATTCTGTACGACAACTTATTCTGAAAAACAACAAACATTAAAGTATTTTAAAATTCTCATAAATAAAAGGTCATCAATTAAATAGTTGAAGAAGTCCATAAGATTTACCCAAAGTACATTGTATGTCCAAAACACTTCTAAAATCCAACACCCTCTATTTTGAAATACATATCTAGATATTATTTGACTGATTTTAATAGGTAATTAAAAGAAAAAAACAACAAGATAGATTTTATCTCCAAATTTGGCTATGAAAATATTTGTAGAACAGTGCTGCATTTGTGTATGGTGCAATGAGTTTTACGGAGAAACTTGCCAATGGAATCGCTGTTGTTCTCATTCAAAGATACAACCCATGGTAAGTTCGTATTTTTTACTATATCATTTTAACTTTACCAACTGTAAAAAAAAAGTTTCCAACCGTGCTGTATTTCAGCATGATCATAATCAAGAATAATTAAGTAAAAGAAATACATTGGGATAAAGATGAATCGAAAGTTCGCGATTTGAATCTCCAAATATTTTAAAGTAGATTTAGACTTGAAGATAACGAACAGTAAGCAGCCAAAAAAATCTATAAACAGTACAAATATTCAAAGACGACAAAAACACGGGTCCTGGAACTTCTATAGGTGGCATCAGATGCCTGACAATTGGTATGTAATAAAACAGCAAAAATTCACCCTTATAAAAAGTGAAATGTACAAACATTTCAAACATTATCTACAGATACAGGTATAATGCTTCAAATTTAGACCTTTATTACGACCTTTCAGCAGCAGAGGAGTTGCGAGTCCGTGGGATCAGGCGCTGAGTGAGCCTTCCAAGTCGACTGGTCGTTTTGATTTGTTTTGTACTATTCACGAAATACTGACATTAAACGAGACTGTTAAAATTTCTGTAACATCAATTTATCTGTCAGTAGCCTGCTTCGGTTTAAAAACCGATCATCTCCAGAGCATGCTCTCGAGTATCGAATATGTTGGAAAATGTAAACACCACACGCAGGTGAAAATGGGATATTACTGATACATAAACAAGGAAAGTGTTGAATATATCGAAAAGATGAAATTATCTCGTTTGACATACAATTTAGTTACTAGTATGTCCTTATCGTCTATAGTTCGTAATACCGGTACATCCAATTTGATCCAAATATAAATTAGATGTGACAGACTCTTTGTGTCTTTAAGTTCACTTAGATATATAGTAACTAATCGATATATGAATGAAAGTAGCTATTTTTATCTGATAATACATCATCGATAAATCTTAATGAATCGGAAGCTACACGAAGTGTTTCCTTCTTCTCATGACTTGTAACATTTTGATAAATTTTGCTGAATTCATATGAATATATCAGGTCAATAAAGAAGCACCTATGTGATTCATAGGAATATAAAAAAAAAAAAACAGATCAGCTACATGTAATTAAAGGGGACCATTATTGCCGATCGGATTCGTTTTATTCATATACGAGACAGAAAATGTGCCACAATTTAATGTTTGCAAATAATATGATTTGCCAGTTTAGATTGTCCCTTGTCTCTTGTAGCGAGAATGGTTCTGCTGCCCACATGACTCACCACTGCACGGTGTACTATCGTGACGTCCTGGTGACTGTCCCGGGGGGCGTGACCTTCATATCCCTCCTTGTCCTTCTCAGCACAATATCCTCCATAGGCGGCGGGAGCGGCTGGAAAGGTAAGAAATCTAACAATCACATCAATGTCATGTCTATAGACTGAAAGGTCAGAAATCTATCATTCACATCATTGTCATGTTTGTACATTGAAAGGTCAGTAATCTATCATCAATGTCATGTCTGTAGACTGAAAATAACTTTTCTGATCCCATTATGTCCGGCGTCTATGTATCCGACTGTAAACTTTTCACATTTCCCTCTTCTTCTCCAGAACCACTTGGCGAATTTCAAAGTAACATTGGATAATAGGGATTCAAAATGATCAGATTCAAGAATCATGCATTCTTCCAAGGGGGTATAAATACAAATATGCATCAATAAAAAATGTTTAACATTTTTTTTTATTAATCTTTTCTACAGCAATACACAAAAGAAGGAAACTTACGTAGAAGTATACTTAGGTATCTACCATTCACCTTTGTTACAATCGTTAACCCTGAAAAGGTCCGCATAGAAATTCATAGTAAACATCTTTTAAAATTTTCTTTTCAAAAACAGCAAAATCATGATTTGTCATATCTATATGGAAGAATCCTCTAGTAGTGTAGATTCGAGTTTGTTCAAATATTGACTAAGGGGTGATTGATTGATTGATTGAACGTTGTTTAAAGTCCCATTCGAGAATTTTTCGCTCACCATTTACCATTGAAGGGCTTCAAATTTTGACCATTACTCGGCACTCTTAGCCATTGAGCTGTGAAGGATCTTTATCGTGACAACACCTGCCTTGACACAGGATATAAGTTTTTAAGGTCTCATCCGAAGGACCCGCAACTTTCACTTCAAAGTGTCGAGCGCATGGCGAAGGAACAGTTGCTACATTTTTTTATCGACTAAGGTCAGACCTCAAGGAGGGTAGATTCGAGTTTGTTCATATAATGACTAAGGGGTGTAAGGTGGGTATCAATGCCTACATAGGAAACGTTTTTAGAAATGTTATTCTCAAGAACAGCAAAGCAGTGATTGGTCAATTGATATGGAAGTATTCTCAGGTAGTGCAATTTCAATTTTGTTCGAATTTTAACATAGAAATATGTCGGAAAATCTGTACAATATTCTTTTCAAGAACAGCAACCCATGATCAATCATATTTATATATGGACGCATCCACACAGTTAGCGTAGATTCAACCTTGTTCAAATCATCACCTCTTGGGGAATAGGGTGGGGCCACGTAAATCTTCAAACTTTTGCATACTAATAAATTAATATTCCTGCTAATGATTCTTTTTAAGGCGTTGTGGCCCGCTGGACTCTTGATTCAAGGACTATCATTTTGACATACTATGATGCTTGGCGTTTCCTCTGCATTTTTTTTTTTTTGGTTTTTTGTACTATGAAAAACACGTATTTTTTTTTTCATTACAAAACAAAGACTGTAATTGCTAAGATAAAAGGATAAATAATGTTATATCTTCTTTTTACTAACCTGATCACTTGTGTGAAGTAACACAGTTATCTATCATTTATTATTTGATCATTTTCTTTTAGCACACAGGATACACCGACAAACTCAGTGAGAGGAGGGCTGAGACTGGACAATGTTGAAATAATTTGAATAAAAACTGTTTGTGAAGAAGACGCATCCAAAAGACGAGAAGGATTTGCTATGAGATCGGCAAAGCCGTAAAAACTAATTAAAAAAAAAAAAACAGTGGAGACCCACATGCAGTTATATGGAATATTAATTCAACTGATGATTGAAAACAATAAATATCATAATGTAACGGGTGCGATTGAAGATATACCCGGTATTTATACCACAATTGAAAGTGTACTAGTTTTACATTTTCAATACTTAGTTGATTTATGAAATTACCTGCTAGGTGGATAGGTTTTGAAACATGACATAAGAAATGTAAATTACTATAAGTCTAGAGTTCTGTGAACTACTATGCAGAGTGGGACTCTAATGAAACTACGTCTTGGTACTCTCAGCAAGCAACATCACTTATTATTTATAAGGTGAATTGATCTAAAAAAAAAAAAAAGATGATACATGTAGCACCTATTCATTTAGTGATATCAAAGTTAATTTGTATACATAAATTAAAACAAATTATTCAAACATTTTTTTTCATTTGAAATAGTACGTGGAATGGAATAGGCGATACCCATAAAGATAATATAACCAATTCACACAGTTGATACACCTAGTCATTTTGAATATATATGTGAAATGACCTATTCTTATTTTGTATGAAATAAAAATACTATATTTAATTCAAGTACAAAGTAATTTTTGTAATGATAACCGACCACATAGTTTTAGATTTTTTCTGAAATACATTGCAGCCCTTTTTAGACGGAGGCTTATTAGACGGAGGCTTAGCCTCCGCTCTATTGGTACCGCTCATCTGAGGCGGAAGGGAATTTGCGATCGCCATCTAGCGGCAATTCACGTTAACTTTGATTAGCCTGGTCCCCAGGCTCATACTTTCCAAGGCAGGAGTACACGA